TGTAATTAAGGTGCTAATTAGCCCCCTCCGAGACTGATTAGCGCCCCCCCGGGGTTAATTAACACCCCTGGGGGTAATTGACACTCCCAGCGTTAATTAATACCCCCCCCGGGATTAATTAACACCCCCAGGACTAATTAGTGCCCCCCCAGGAGCCCCCCCAGGATTAATTAACCCTAATTAACGCCCCTGGGGGTGCCTGGGAGGACACTAACGAGCCCCCCAAGGGTTCCTGAGGCCTTTATGCTAATGAGCGAAATGCTAATTAGCCCCCTTGGCGCATAAAGCCATTATGCTAATGACATCACACTAATTAGTCTAATTAGTGTAAGGACAGGGGGTGGGATGCGGTGCTAATGAGCCCCAGCAGCTCGTTCAGCCCTTATGCTAATGAGCGCTGAACTCATTAGGCCGTTAGACTAATGAGCACCGTGCTAATCAGGCCATTATGCTAATGAGAAACATGCTAATTAGCATATTATGCTAACGAACAGCTCTAATTAGGCCATTAGGTTAATGAGCTTGAGTAAGAACCACCCCTGGGGGGGGGTTTCTGAGCCCCTTATGCTAATGAGTAATATGCTAATTAGTTAGCTACGTTGTGCTAATGAGCCCCGTGTTAATTAGGTCTTTATGCTAATGAGCACTGCTGCTAATCAGGCCATTATGCTAACGAGCACCACTCTAATTAGGCCGTTAGGCTAACGAGCTTGAGGATGAGCCCCAGGGGGGGTGTTCCTTAGACCCTTATGCTAATGAGAAGTCTGACAATTAGCATATTATGCTAATGAGCAATATGCTAATGAGCCGAGACGAGGAAGGGGGGTCAAGAATCCCATGGGGGTAGGGGCCCGCCTTAATGTATGCAAATGAGGCATAGAGGGTGGGGTCAAGGGAGGGCTGAGGTATGCAAATTAGCCTTTTATGCTAATGAGCAACATGCTAATGAGGCAAGACAGGGGATGGGGGTCGTGAATCCCATGGGGGAAGGGGAGAAAAGGGGGCGGGTCCTGCCTTAATATATGCAAATGAGGCACAGGAGATGGAGGGCGGGGTCAAGGGAGGGCTGGGGTATGCAAGTTAGCCTCTTATGCTAATGAGCAATATGCTAATGAACCAACACGGGGAGGGCGATACGTCCCGGGGAGGGGGGGGGGGGGGGGATAAAGGGGGGGGGCCCCCCCTTTAATAT